GGCCTCCCAGAGAGCTAGGATTCAGATGTGAGCCACCATGTCCGGCCCTTGGCCTGGCTTCTAAGGGCAACCAAGCGAGGGCCTACCTCACTCCTCCCATCCCATCCCAAGGCCCTCCTCCCCCATCTACTTCTGTCCCCTTCTCTCCTCAGAAGCCCACCCGGGTGGTAAACAAGGTCCATGCCTTTGGGAAGAGGGGCAATGCTCTCCGAAGGGACCCCAACCTCCCTGTGCACATCCGAGGCTGGCTTCATAAGCAGGTAGAGTCGGCAGGAGAAGGAAGAGGCCACTAGAGTCTGTGCCCTTGGCTGTCCACTGTTTCTCTCCTTCGGAGTCCCCAGATATGTTTCTTTTTGCTATCACTGCCCCTCTGCTTACTCTGTCATTGTTTCATTCATTCATTCAATGACTGCTTCCTGAGCACTTAGGAAGTTCCCAGCCCCAGGGCACACACCATGCAAATAAGACAAACAACTTTATACATTACATTCAAGATCAGGGTGGGGCAGGGATAGATAAAATATTAGTAAATAAATAAATGGCCCTGATCATCTGATTGTAGGAAATGCTGTGAAGAAATAACACCCAGGGATATGCTTGGAAGTGGCTGAGGGATGAGAGCTGGGTTTGACTCGTGGTGGGGGAAGGCCTCTCCGAGATGACAATCGAGCTGAGATCTAGAGGGCAGGAAGTAGCCTGCCATGCTGAGATCTGGAGGCAGAGTGTACGGAGAAGGAAAGGCCCCGCAGCAGGTAAAAGCTTGGTGTTCGGAGCGAGGCGAGGCAGGAGAGACAGTAGGGGCGGCCAAGCAGTGGTTCTCAAAGAGTGGTTCTCAAAGAGCAGTGGTTCTCAACTGCTGGTTCCCTGGACCACCAGCATGACATCACCTGGGAACTTGCTAGAAATACAAATGATCAAACCAATCAGGAACTCTGGGGATGGGGCCCAGGAATCTGTGTTGTAACACACCGTCCCAGCAATTCTTACGCACTCCGAAGCTCGAGACTCCCTGCAAACCTGTAAACTGGGGTAAGGAATTTGAGATTTATTCTAAGTGTGACAGCAAGCTCTGTTTTGAGAAGGGGACTCCCATGGTCTAACATAATTTTAAAAGACCATGCTGGTTTCTACGGGAACGTATTGAGGAGGAGAAGAGGGTCATGAGGTTGGAGATGGTGGCATGGTCCAGGCAGACGTGATGGGGAGACACATGATTCAGTGCCACCTTCCTGGCCTCGCTGTGTCTCATGCCCCAGGAATTGGACCAAGCAAGTCTCCGGATATAAAGCCCCTGCCCATGTGTGGTGTGCATTGTGTCATCCAAGCCTCTCCAAAACTTCTCAGTCCTCCACTGACAGATGAGAAAACACAAGGGTCCTAGCAGGGAAATGACTTGTTTAAGGGCATAGCTCGAAGGTGGCATAGGTAGGAGTAGAACTCAGGTCCAGCTGTGTCCAGAATCTATGTCAGCTCAGCCACCACACACTGGCTTCCAGCTCTCTGAGTCCATTACATCAGACATGCGTCTGTCCCTCTCCTCTCTCTGGGTCTCTGTCCCCTTACCCCCGTGTCTCTGTCTCCAGTTTGTCTCTGTTCCTCTCTCTCCAGGTCTCTTTCTCTCTCTGGGTCTCTGTGCCCACCGTTGCTGTCTTCATCTCCTTTCTCCTCTCCCCTCCACTCAGGCCCCTCCTCCCACCTGTCTCCCCAGGACAGCTCCGGGCTCCGGCTCTGGAAACGCCGCTGGTTCGTCCTTTCCGGCCATTGCCTCTTCTATTACAAGGGTCAGTGACCCGGCTGGCATGGGGTGGGAGGACCCCCCTCCCACTCGCCCTTAACTCTGACCTCTTGGCCTCCTGATCCCTGTGTGACCCTGACTGCAGCCCCCTCTTTGCAGACAGCCGCGAGGAGAGTGTCCTGGGCAGCGTCCTGCTGCCCAGCTACAGTATTAGGCCAGATGGGCCAGGAGTCCCCCGAGGGCGGCGCTTCACCTTCACCGTGAGTCTGTCCATCCCCACGGGTGCTATGTCTGCATCTCTCAGGGAAACTCTTAAGTCCCAGCAAGCCCTGGAGTATTCATTACTGGAAATGAAAGGTCTTGACCAGGATCAGTGGCACCCTCCTTTTAGAGGGCCCGGGCGTCCAGTCCTAAGCCTCCTCTCCCACAGGCAGAGCACCCGGGCATGAGGACCTACGTTTTGGCCGCTGACACGTTAGAGGACCTGCGGGGCTGGCTGCGGGCCCTGGGCCGGGCCTCCCGCGCAGAGGCGGACGATTGGTGAGTAGAGGTCCAGGCCCCTGACCCTGGACCTTTATCCTGAGTCAGTCCAGTCACCCCGAACTTCTCTCCTCAGAGGCCCTGTCCCCTTGAATGTCCGATCACTAGTCTTCTAGCTAAGGAGACTCGGTCTTCCAGACCTCACCTGCAGGGAACTTCGGCTCTTCCAATCGGCAAAGTCTTCTTCTCTTAAGCTCTGCCCACCGCCTGTTCAGCGCCGCCCCCGAGCTGACCCGCCAATCAGGGTGTCTGGTAGACACTCTCAGCTCTGCCCCCTGCGTTATCAGTGTTCCACACTCTCTCATTGGCTCCCTCTGAAGTCTCCATCCCCTGAGCTGCCCTCTAAACCAAGTCAGATAAAGGACAATGTCAGGTTTTTAAAAAAATGCCGGACGGTCTCTTAGGCTCTGTCGCGGCCTGCCCCAATTCTCAGGCTGGGGACTGGCTCAGACTATCTTATAGCCCGGGGCATTGGGTCCAGCAAACTAGACGGACCTTGTGAGTCAGCACAGGTCACTTCCACATCGGAGCCTCAGTTTCCCCAACTGCAAAATGGAGACAATGACTGATAGTGCACAATCTCCCCTTTGTGGGTGGGTCTCTGCCCTCGACTGTAAAAAGAGAACAGGGCTGTCCTGAGGTTCAAAGGAGTGATGTGATTTTCTGTGTCCACTCGCTAGTGGGCAACCCAGGTCACCCGCGCGGCCCCTGCCTGGGGAGGGCCCTGGCGGCCCTGGTGGTCCCCCGGAGGTGAGCAGAGGGGACGAGGGGCCCATCTCAGAATCACCAGAGCTGGCCCGACTGTCCAGAGGCCGTGGCAGACGCGGGCTGCTGGCTCCCAGCCCCACAGCCGACCTCCAGTCTGGACTGCGAGTGCAGAGGGCCAGGAGCCCAGAGTGAGTGGGACCCAGTTGGGGGCGGGGCCAAGGCCAAGGGCGGGGCCAGGGGCTTGCCAGCGCTTTCTGCCCGAATGTGTGTGGGTTCCTGGGGTTCTGGTGGGGTCACAGCCTGTCGGGGAGAAGTTCTAAGGAGGAGTTGCCACCGAGGGAAAATTATGCAGGATCTGGACGGTAGAGGAGGATTCTACTCCAGAGGGACAGTAAGACATGTCCCTGGGGCTGACTTGATGGGTAGTGAGGTGGATGGAGGGGGCTCTAGTTGACTCAGTTCTGCGGTTCTCTTCTTCCCACAGCCTGTTCACACCCCTCTCGCGCCCTCCCTCCCCTCTGAGCCTCCCCCGACCCCGTTCTGCTCCTGCGCGGCGACCCCCTCCTTCCTCAGGAGACACAGCACCCCCTGCCCGACCTCACACCCCGCTGAGTCGCATCGATGTCCGGCCTCCTTTGGATTGGGGTCCCCAACGCCAGACCCTCTCCCGGCCTCCCACTCCCCGCCGAGGACCTTCCTCTGAGGCTGGGGGAGGAAGGCCTCCCAGGAGCCCCCAGCCGTGGAGTCAGGAGCCCAGAACACAGGTGAACAGAGAGCTGAGGGGGAGAGGACTACATTTCCCACTAGGCCTCTGGGCTGCCTTTCTATACCGATCTCCAGCCTTTGTTCCTAAAGCGTCATGGGGACTGTAGTCCAGACTACTCTGCCAAGGCAGTGTCGTGAGAGGTAGAGTGGTTTGCATCTGCCTTGTGTCCCCAGTTTATTTTTCCAAGTAGGCCGCCTACCGTTTTCTCTGAGCATCACGGGAATGTGCCCAGAATATCCATAGCTAACTGTAAACATGAGAGGGAGAGAAGGTTGCAACTTCCATCAGCCCTGGGGCTGTTTTGCCAGGCTAGTCCATTTAAGACCATCCTCTGTGTGCCCACAGTGATACACAGCTGGAGAGCGGGTAGTTGAGGAAGTTGCCTGGGGGGCTCAGTTCTGAATTGCAAAATATCTCCTAAAGCACTTCAATTCTTGACACGTGCACTCTAATATTTATTACTAAGACGATGCCAATTTCTAAGCATCTCTGTGTCAATGTTCCTCCCAGGCACCCTCTGGCTCCTCCACTTATCTCCAGCTGCCCCCACGGCCCCCTGCAACCCAGGCCTCCATGGTTTTATTGGTAGGTATCCTGGGACACCCCAAGTCTACCAGAGCCCCCCCTTGCTTTCTTTGCTATGAGGAATGTCATCTCCTGGCCTAGGGTGCCTAGAGAACACTAGATATTTCAAGGTCCCTGGGTGGCTGCTTATTTAGTTTCCTGTGGCTGCTGTAACAAACTGGGTGGCTTAAAACAACAGAAGTTGATTCTTTCATGGCTCTGGAGACCAGAGGTCTGAAGTTAAGGTGTCAGTAGGGCCATACTCTGCCTGAAGGCTCTAGTGAGGCTCTTTCTTTGTCTGTCTCCTAGCCTCTGGTGGTTGCTGCAGGCCCTGGCATCCCATGGCTTGTGGCTGCATTGCCCCAATCTCTGCCTCTGTCACCACATGGCCATTTTCCTTTGTGTTTTTTGGTGTCTCTCTGTCTGCTTGAATAAGGACACCAGGATGACTTCATTGTAACTTAACTTACATCTGCAAACACCCTGTTTCCAATTGAGGTCACATTTTCAGGTACCAGGAGTTAGGACTTAAACACATCTTTTTGGAGGACACAAATTCACCCTCAACAGTGCTCAAGGGTTTTCAGCTGGCAAGGGTGGAGACTTTCCTAGCAACGAGGCCCACGAGGGCCTGAGGCCCCTTCTGGGCCTTTCAGGAACTCGTTATGGTAAGGTAGGGACAGAGGGGAGGGGCTCTCATTCTTTAAAGGCAGGGTCTATGGAGACCACAATCAAAGCAGTGTGTTTGTGGAGTGGCTGCTCCATAGCAAGGGGGTTGGGGGTAGAGGGTGTAGTGATGCCTGAATCTTCAGTCTCGCTCTGTATTTCCACTGTGCTGGTTGCTTCTGAGAACCTGGTGGCTGGCAAGGAACTTCTGAAGCCACAGTACCTGATGAGGCTCTGTGCATACATTTCTTGCATATTTGAGGCAGCCCTACTAGACCCCTCTTTGTCCCAGTTGCATGGATGACATCATTCCTACCAGCATTGTGTGCAGTGAGGAGGACATTCAGTGATCAAGCTTCGATTGAGGACAACTCTTGTTTGGGACCAGCTCAAGTGTAGTCCCTAGCTATGGGACCTTTACAAAGCCTCTTGCTGAATTTGAGGCAGCTCTGTTCCCTTGACAAGGAATGAGGCCTAGTGCCTGGTCTTCTGCCCTTCTGTGGCATGTGGGGTGGGGTTCAGGGGTGATGCGTGACAGCAGCACAGGGCTTGAGCTCAGGGCTCAAGCTTGGCCTATTTGATCAGATTTTGAGAGGGCTGAACCCCTAAAGTGAAACTTACTGAAGTTTGGATTTGGGGTTACAGGGATTGGGGAGTCACTGCCTAGCAACGGGGCCTATTGTGGCTGCATGAAGCCTGGGATGCAGTTGCTAAGGAAGGTCATTCTCTAGCAATGGGGCCTATTGAGATAGGAGTCCCCGTTTATTCTTCTCCAGATAGAAGCCAGCTTTCCTGTAACCATGAATCAATGAATAAATGAATGGGTAGAGAGTGGATCCCGTAATAGATAGTTACAGGAAAGGTGGCTTCAGGTACTGTAGCTTCAGAAGTTCCTTTGCTAGCTACCAGGTTCTCAGAAGTAACTAGCACAGTGGAAATATTGAGCAAGACTCTTCTATATTGGCTTTTGTGAATGATGTTTGCAATGAACATGGGTATACAAATTCTCTTTGAGTTCCTGCTTTGAATTCTTTTGGATATATACCTTCCTGACAGTTTATATAGCTATTTGAATGGTTCATTACTCCAAAATAAGTTCCTTATTTTGTTATTATATTTTCTAGTTATCGATGCTCTTATGTTTTGTAGACTTGTCTTATATGTAGTATCCTTGCTGAAGTCCCTTATGCCTTCTAATCACTCATCCCTTCTGTTGGTTCTTAGGGTAGATGAGCGTATCTTCTGTAAATAATGGTGGTTTTGCCTTTCCCCTTCCTCTCCTTACGCCTTTGGTGTTTTTCCCTTTTCTTTTCTTTCTTTTTTTTTTTTTTTGAGACAGAGTCTTGCTCTGTTGCCCGGGCTAGAGTGCTGTGGTGTCAGCCTAGCTCACAGCAACCTCAGACTCCTGGGCTCAAGTGATCCTTCTGCCTCAGTCTCCCAAGTAGCTGGGACTACAGGCATGTGCCACCATGCCCAGCTAATTTTTATATATATACACATATATATTTTTAATTGTCCAGATCATTTCTTTCTATTTTTTAGTAGAGACGGGGTCTCGCTTTTGCTCAGGCTGGTCTCGAACTCCTGACCTTGAGTGATCCACCCGCCTCGGCCTCCCAGAGTGCTAGGATTACAGGCTTGAGCCACCGCGCCTCGCCCCTTTTCTTTCCTTATAGCTTGGTCAGGATCTCTAATACTGTTGGTAGTGAGTATCGTTGTTTCATTCTTAGTCGTAAAGAAAATATCTAAAGTGTCTTCATTAAGTGTAATGTTTGCTATGGCTGTTGGATAACAGAGCCCATGGCATCTTCCTGAGGCCAAGAATCTGGCAACCGGTCTACTGAGGTTTGCAAAAGCTTAGAAGAAGCTAATAAGGGGATGGCTCAGCCTTGAGTTACAACAGGGATGGGGACAGACAAGTCCTTATTTTCTTTTCTCCCTCTCCTCAGCCGGCTCCTCCCCTGGAGTCAACCTTCCACCAAAGCTTGGAGACAGATGTAAGTTCTTATTGATCCAACCCCTGCTGAGTTCCCAGAGTTGGGGAGAGAAGGTTCTAGAATCATTCTCTAGGGTAGGGAAAAAGCCAGACCTGGTCCATAAATTGCTCTTGCTCTCATTTCTCCAGACTCTGCTGACCAGGTTGTGTGGACAGGACCGACTCCTGAGGAGGCTACAGGAGGAGATAGACCAGAGGCAGGAGGAGAAGGTACCCTGGGGTGGGACAGGGGTCCTTAGCCCTTCCTGACCGTGGGAGGCAGGATGCCGGCTGGATGTGGAGGATATGGGAGGACACTTTTTCTCCCCTCCTGGGGCTGCATGTGCCTTCAGAAGTCTAACCACCTTCCCTCTTGCTGCAGGAACAGCTAGAAGCAGCCCTGGAGTTGACCCGGCAGCAGCTGGGCCAGGCAACCAGGGAGGCTGGGGCTCCAGGGAGGGCCTGGGGTCGCCAGCGCCTCCTGCAGGACCGACTGGTCAGCGTGAGGGCCACCCTTTGTCACCTGACTCAGGTGAGCATCGGGGAGGGGGCACATCCTCCCAGGAGGCCCCAGGACTATACAGGTTGTTATGAAGGGGACCTGCCCCATAGGAAGGCAGTTCTTGAGAATTCTGTCCACTCCAAATTTCAAACCAATAATCTTAACCATCCTAGAGGATAAGGAGCAAGAAACAGCATGAAACAGCACAACTTAATTTAGCAGTTTGAGAGGGTGATTTCGATATGGACTTTCTGACTTTGAATCTCACCTCCTGCTCTTAGTAGCTGTGTGTCTTTAGAAAAGTTACTTAATCCCTCTGGGCCTTAGATGCCTCCTGTGTAAACTTGAGATAATGATATTTACTTAGTAGGGTCATTGTGAGGATTACATTAATATATGTAAATGAACAAATGAATATTTAACACTTAAGGTACCTGGTACTTGGTAAGCAATATTTAAGTGTCGGCTGTAATTATTATCAAATGGAAAATGGAGACAATAAGAGAAGCTACCTCACAAGAATTAAATGAATGCTGAAAACAGTGCTATTAATAGCACATGGTAAGTGCCCCATATGTGTTAGCTGCCGTCGTTATTATTAGTAGTAGTAAGAGTACCAAAATATTGACAAGGAGGTTCTGCTGTCCAGGAGCGTGTAGGCGTTGTGGTCTTGACTGTCCTCCAAATTCATTAGATTTGTAGACTTTGCTGCCTTAGGGGAGTGCAGAGGTAACCCGGGGATCCAGGGAATGTCCACACTAGCAGCCTGTTGGAATTGCAGGTTCGATATAGATGCTGGGGTTCACAGTAGTCCGAGCAAAGAGGCCCATGGGAATTGTAGTCCAGGTACCCTAAAGGTGCCAGGGATCAGGCCTTCCTTCCTCCTCCTCGCTGGGAAAAGATGGGATGGGGAAAGATCTAGTGGATGAGGTTAGTTAACCTGTGTCTTTCCCTTTCTGGGACCTGAGGAGCGAGAGCGGGTTTGGGACACGTACAGAGGCCTGGAGCAGGAGCTGGGCACCTTAAGAGAGACCCTCGAGTACCTGCTGCACCTCGGGTCTCCCCAGGTACGTCTCTGCTGGAGGGCCCAAGCTCCACCCTCCACTCCCAAACTCCGCCTGGAAATTCCGTCAGTGTTCAAGCCCCGCCCACAGAATGGAGGCCTCTCCCACTCCACCCCAAGCTCCTCCCCCCTCTGTCCTTTTATTCTAAGCCCCTTATGGTAGTTAAGACCCTGCCCTTCGTTTTAAGACCTGCTTTCAGATTCAGAGCCACTCTACCCTTTCTTTCTAAATCTATCCTCTCCTTGAAACCCTGCTCTCACCAGCAAAACTCCATCGCTCAGCCGTGTCTCCACCCTACAAGTTCCTCTCTTGCGTCCTGCTTCCTGACTTCCACTGTTAAATTGATCCCCTAGAGCTTCCGGGTCTAAACCCAATCTCTCCGTTCTAGCCCCACTTCTAAAATGTAAACCTCACTGCTTAGCCTCAGACCTGTTTCTTCATTGCAAGTCTAGCCGCCGAATTCTATGGTGTTGTTTTTGCTTTTAGCTGTGTAGCTCTAAATCACATATCTTTAGTTAAAAACATTGATGGGCCAGCCAGGGGCAGTGGCTCACGCCTGTAATCCCAGCACTTTGGGAGGCTGAGGTGGGAAGATCACGGGAGGCTGGGAGTTCAAGACCAGCCTGTGCAACATAGTGAGACCTCACCACCCCAACCCCTGGTCTCAACAAAAAATAAATAGCTGGGCATGGTGGTGTGCACCTGTAGTCCCAGCTACTTGGGGAAACTGAGGCAGGAGGATTGCTTGAGCCCAGGAGTTCAAGGCTGCAGTGAGCTATATTCAGGCCACTGCGCTCCAGCCTGGGCCACAAAGTGAGACTCTGTCTCAAAACAAACAAACAAACAAACAAAACTGCAGTTAATAAGACAGGTAGCCTAGTGTTGTCACAAGGTTAGACAGATGGACCTATAGACTAGAACAGGGTACGGTATTCAGAGATAGAGTCATATATTTATAGGGTGGCCAATTTATGACAGTGGTAACACTCCAGGGCAGTGCAGAAAAGACAGTCTGTCCAATTCAATTGGATATCCATGTGGAAAAAAAATAAACCCTGACTCCATAAATATAGCCCAGCTGATTTCAGACCCTTTCTGTGGCCCCCTTGCATTTTCCCACCTTTGAGTAACAAATTCCTTTCCTCCCCCAGGACAGAGCATCTGCTCAGCAGCAGCTGTGGATGGTAGAAGACACACTGGCAGGTCTGGGTAGCCCCCAGAAACCGCCCCCCAACACCGAACCTGAGCCCCCCTCTCCAGCGCTCCAAGGCGAGGAGTCCTCGGAGAGGGAGGTGAGAGGCACACATCTTTCTCCCCACACCCCAGCTTCCTGTCCCCTCTGTCCCTGACCCAACCCATCCCCCACTCGCCTCTTTCCCTCTTCCTTGAGCAGCTAACCAACGTCAGGCAAGTATGCCAACCATGCCCTATGTTTCCTTGTTTGCTATGTTGCCACCATAGTCCAGTGGTGTGCTGGGGCCAGATCCTAACAGCTCCCAAGAGCCACCTGTGTGTATCTCTCTCCAACTCCACATTGCATGATGTCATGCTGGTAGCCAGAAATCAACCACCGTAGGAGTATTTACACCACAGCCATCGGCAAACTACAAATTGGGGTACTTTTCCTCCAGAGAGACGTTTGTTAAACATTTACCAGACACCACTGCTCCCTGATCATAACTGGGAAGTCCAGACACATTGTAGGTTGCTCAGGAGGCAGGAGCCACTGTTGCCACAGCTGGGTTAGAACTGCTGCTGGCTCTGACCTCCAGACCACGTATCCAAAAGACCTGGGTTCAGATCCCAGCTCTGCTCTCTTTGTGACATCAGTCATGGACCTCATTTTGAACCTCAGTGTTGCCATATGTAAAATAGGGATAATAATCATAGCTGTCTTGCGGGTTTACTGTGGGATCCAATGAGATGCTGCAGGTAAAAGTGCTTAGCATAGCACCAGGTGCATAAGCATTATAAAACCTCGCACCCATGATGCCTTGCTTCACGCCAGGCATCGTTCTAAGAGCCCTACCTGTGTGGACTCAATCCTCATATCCCAAAGGAAAATATGGCCCAGAGAGGTAAAGCGACTTGCCCACGGTCACACCGCTAATTAAACAAATGGCAGAGCTGGGATTGGAAACTAAAATGTCTCACTCCTGGTTTACAATCTTAATCCTAGTCATACTGTGTCTCAATTGCTAAATTCTTGAAAAAGGGTAACAAGAATCACGATGATAATGATTCTCCTTCTCTGGTCCCTCCAGAGCCTGCCTGAGTCCTTGGAACTGAGCTCCCGTCGGTCCCCTGAGGCTGACTGGGGGCGGCCTCCTGGGGGCGACAAAGACCTCGCCAGCCCCCACCCAGGTGAGCACCCTGGTTTGGTCGGGTGGGATGTTCTCGGAGTTCCCTGTCCTCACCAAGTCCCGTTCTGTCCTTCCAGGTCTTGGGTCTCCGAGGGTCTCCCGGGCTTCCAGTCCTGAGGGTCGCCACCTCCCTTCCCCGCAGCTGGGAACCAAGGTAGGCCGTAGGTCCATCTTATAACCCTTTGATCTGACCATCCTGGACCCCCACTTCTGGGGAAACAAGTAGGAGAGGTGAGTTCTAAGGCTCCACCCAGAGCAGAGAGTTCTATTTGTTAAGGGCACTGGGGTTGAATTTTGTCTCTGTTACTTCTAAGCTGTGTGACTTTGGTTCACTTATTAAACCTTTCTGTTCCTCTACTTTTTCATCTGTAAAATGGGGCTAATAGCCAGTACCTATCACCTAGAGGTGACATGAGGATTAAAACTAGTTGAGTGCCTGTGAAGGGCTGCAGATAGTGCCTAGATATAGTAAGTACTTCATTCATTCACTCATTTAGCAATTCACTCATTCAACAAATATTTATGGACTAGTATCTCTGCTGTCCAATAAGGTAGTACAAACCCAAACAGATATTGGCTATTTAAATTTAAATAAAATAAAAAATTCACTCATATTTGCCTAATTTCAACTGCTCAGTAGCCACATGTGGCCAGTGGCTACCATGTTGGACAGAACAGATCTAGAACATTCCCATCATTGCAGAAAGTTCTACTGTACAGTGCATTTATGAGCGGAGGACCCAAGGGTGAACAAGATGGGAAGAAAATCCTTCCCTCACGAATCCGATATTCTAGTGGCAGGAGACGTAATAAACAATCAATTTACTATACATCACTTCCTATGTTATAAGAGCTAAAGACATAAAAACAGGGCAGGGCTGGGCGTTGGGATGCTTTTGGGAAGGGGTACGATCGTAAATGACTTGGTCTGGGGAGGCTTCGTGGAAAGGAAATGTTTAAGCAGGTACTTGAAGGAGGTGAGGGAACGAACTTTGAGGATGCCTGGCGGAAAAGTGTTTCACGGGCACAGGGAACAGCCTTTGCAAAGCTTCCTAGGCAGGTGCGGTCTGGGCCCGTTGGGGGAGCAGCTAGAAAGCCACTGTGGCTGGAGCTGAGTGAGAAAGCGACAGGGAAAGGGATGGAGAAGAAGACAGAGAGGGAATGGGAGCGGATCGCGCTTGGCCTTGAGGTCCATGGGGAGGGCTTTGCTCTGAGCAACGGGAGCCATGAAGGGCTCTGAGCAGAGGAGGGACGTGAGATGCCTTGGTGGGAACCGGCGCCCTCTGGCGGCCGTGTGGGGAACAGACTGTGGGGGGCGAGGGCTGGGGCCCTGGGGATAGAACAGTTGTTTGCAATAGGTTAGAAGCAGAGTGAACTTCTAGATATACTGTACCAGTCTTCAAACTTTATCCAAAACCCTTGGGAACAGATATAATTTACAATGCAAAACTTCGCAGATTCTAGAACAGTAACATGATGCACAGACCGTGTATTATATAAAACCCCCAGCCGCATCTGCTGCAGCACACTTAATCAAACGCATTAACATTTCCCCGATAAAACATATGAATATTCATACTGAATGGGATAAAGGCTATAAATAACAACCCAATTTAAATGTCAAGTTTATACAGCAAAGAGCTGCTAAATGAATGAGACAGTGTGCAATAAAAATAGATTATAAATATCAGTTTTTATTTCTAAGGAAAGGGTTTCATAAAACATCATGTCACACATCCAGGTACAAATGAAGCCACATGTAGTCGATGGTTGTGGCATCTAGTGGCTTAAGAACCCTGGAGACAGGGGTCATTGGAGTTGGACATCTAAGGGAGCGCTAGGAGTGGAATTTGGGTATGGTGAGGCAGGTGGCCTTCCTGTCACCTGACCCTTACCAAAGGGTCTACGTAGGCAGTCTCCCCTTAATTGAGTAAATAGCATCTCTTGACTCATGAGGAAGGTCAGCATTTCACCATTCATCAGTGGGGGTTCTCCCCCGTGTCCCCGATGTCGTCAACAGCATGGCTACAATCCTCTCAGATTTCTGAATTTCACACTGTGCCAGCACTTTCCCCACCCCGACAGGTGAGTCATTGCAGCCTCCAGAAGGGGCTTCCACTTGTACCGGTCATCTTTGGGCATAAATCCCAAGGTTCAGTGTCATCCTCTTATCATTAGTGACACCAGATCTGGTTGCTTGAGGACTTTGGGAAAAGAAGGTCCTTTGGTTTTCATCTGCAGGTTCATTTTCAAATATCTTGGAAGCCTCAGTCTGTGGCTGCATTTATTCGAGATGATTTATCAGCCTCATTCTGAGTGTTTGCAGCTGCAGCTGCGGCACCCTTAAGATGTCTTTTTTGTTCATTTGTTTGTTTTGTTTTTAGAGACAGGGTCTTGCTATGTTGCCCGTGCTGGTCTTGAACTCCTAAGCTCAAGCGATCCTCCTGCCTCAGCCTCCCAGACATCTGGGACTACAGGCACCACTGCACCCAGGCTTAAGAAGTCTAGAGTCCTGGATTTCCCAGTATTTGCAACTAGCATCCAGTTTGTTTTTTAAAAGGGTGACGGTAGTTATCTCTGCTCTTCATGGAGTGTAAAATTCCATGGTTCCAGCTGTATTCAGAGATGCCATACTAGGCAGAACACAAATATCCCCAATATGTCACAATTCACAAGACATTAAGGCAGGGATTGACACAGCCCTTTTTGAGACAAAACTTGACAATTTTCTTCCAGTCTCACTTGGCTGCAACCAGCTCGTGCTGCTGGTACAAAGTGATGACTGTGCTTGTCCAAAAAGATTTTTCTGAATACTCATAATTTCTTGTTTGCGTGATCATGCCTAGGAAAATTGTAGACATGTTCCGGACATCTTGGGTGCCGGCTCTCTCCAGTTTGTCTTATCTATGCCTACCAGATGTTGGGCACGGTTTCACCAGGTGTGCAAAGCAGGCAGATTCTAAATGGGTAAAAATATCTGCTTATTTGGACTATGTTTAAAACAACTGGATGTGTAGAAATTTCGTTTTGGTGCTAGCAAGCTATGGGGCCAGTGGCCTGGCCTGCGGTGAAGACATGAACAACACAGGGCAACGTTCAGGGGCGTCATTTATATAACACAGGACTCGGGATTGGTCAAATCAGAGTAAGCTGCAGGGATTGGTCCTACAATAGGCAGCTGATCCAAGCTGACTCCTTGGAATTTTCTAATTGGAGATGGCAGCCAGGAGTTCTCTTCCTTTGAGAAGGACCTGTTCCAGTCCTCTCCCCTAGCTTCCTTGGCTTGTGGCAGTGTAGCTCCAATCTTTTTATTTATTTATTTATTTATTTTTTGAGACAGGGTTTCACTCTGTCGCCCAGGCTGGAGTGCAGTGGTGTTGTCCTAGCTCACTGTAGCCTCAAACTCCTGGGCTCAAGCAATCCTCCTGCCTCAGCCCGGTTATCATAACTCCAATCTTCACATGCCATTGTTCTTCCTGGGAGCATTTTCTGTGTCCAGATTTCCTCTTTTTAGGAAGGATAACACATGTCTACAGCTGGGGAGCTCTGTCAGCTCATTTCTTACCTGTAACGTCCTTCGTTTTGTCCCATCTTCGTCTCCGTCAGTTTAAGCCAGCAGCATCTGTGCTGAGATAATTTAATGGATCCACATGTCACATGTAATATGCCTGATCTCTTAGCAAACGGTCATCCAGCCACGCCCTTGGTGTTCTTTCTAGAACATTCTTTCTCACTTTTTGCAATATGAATAGGCTAAAAATGTTCCAAATCTGCAACTTTGCTTAACAATTTCATCTCTGTGCTCTTGCATTTTTTTAAGTTCTGGAAGTTCAAAGTCACCGATCAAGGTGTCAGCAGCAGGGCCACACTCCCTCTGAAGGTGCTGGGGAAGGATCTGTTCTGGGACCGTCTCCAGCTTCTGGTAGCCCTTTGGCTTGTGGCACCAGGACTCTGGTCATCACATGGCAGTCTCCTTGTGTGTGACTTCCCTCTGGGTCTGAGCACAGAAGAAACAGTGAGGGCAAGAGGGAGTTCCGGAAGACCTTGCTAAGGCAGACCCAAACCGATCCGCTTAACGATTTCATTAGCCAGTGACTCCCATTCCTCCCTTTGTTGTTGTCAAAGCTAGTTCAGGGTTGGTTTTTTGTCACCAGCGACCCAGAGTCCTGACTACCTAGAGTGTGAAGAATATGTCCAGGCAAGCCTGAGGGCGTCGTTCCAGCGGATGGAGTGAGGCCAGAGAGGGAGGGGGCAGGCCACACAGGGCTTCAAAGGCCTTTGTCGTCAGTGTGCTTCGGGGCCATGGGAGCACCGTGGGTAGGGGAGGGAGAGCATCGCTTCTGGGGGTGGAAAGACCCGTCTGAGGTACTGTGGCGAATTTACTGGAACGGGCAAGACTGCAGGCCGAGAGGTTTAGCAAAAGGAAATAAAGAGGAGGCCCAAGGTCAGGGTCTTGGGGTGTCTCTCACCTCCCTAGGCCCCCGTGGCCCGGCCCCGGATGAGCGCTCAGGAGCAGTTGGAGCGCATGCGCAGAAACCAGGAATGCGGACGGCCTCTCCCCCGCCCAGCCTCCCCCCGGCTCCTCACCCTGGGGAGGACACTGTCCCCAGCCAGACACCAGCCTGAATTGGAGCAAAGGGTGAGGGAACAGGGTTGGGTTGGGGCTGTGGGGTGGTAGTGGGTCCTCTAGTCCTAGTTTGAGTCTCAGTTTCCTTCTCTGTAAAATGGGGATACTCCCTACCTCCTTACCCCAAACCGGGTTTCCAGATACACCCCAGCTTGTACTTGTGCTAAAGTTAGCTTCCTGGGCACTTGAGTGGGACGTGGACAGGAGGGAGCGTGAGAGGGGACAGAGTGGGGGGGTCACAGATCTGGACTGGAAGCTCAGTTTTCCTTCTCACTTGCTAGGTGTTGTCAAAAGCAAAAAAGGAAAAAAAAAATGCACCAGTAAGGAAATTGATTTTATTCACGCTCTTACGGAGAGCACCCCAGATCTGAACCTCAGAGTGTCTCAGGATGGTGTCACCTTAGACTTTTATAGGAAGGAATTAGACAAGTCACAGGTGTTGGGGCGGGAGGATTTTTTTTTAACCCCAGCTGTATTCCAGGAGCACAGGTAAAGTTAAACATTGTCAGTGTCTTTGGGCAACTTGATCCCCTTTCTGAACCCCCTCCACTTCACCCTCAGATGAGGACTTGGAGCTTCCAGGTGAGGAGTCCTAATGTCCCAATTCCTTTCCAGCCTGTCCTGGGGCACTCAGGAGCCCAGAAATGGCTCAGAAGCTCCGGGTCCTGGAGTAGGTAAGGAACTGGAGGGCGGGTCGAGGGAGCAGGAAAATCAATTCGCGAAGGGGTAGAGGAGGAGTATTATTATTAAAGTCTCCTGAGCACTGAACTACAAGTCACAAAACTTCTAGAGACGCTCGAGTTCCCGGAGCAGCAGAAACAAAATCAGAAAGCCCTAGATCCGCAGTAGGAACTTCAGTTCCCATAACCGGCTTGGTCGCTAGCAAACCCTGCCCTCCATCGAGCAAATCGGGTAAAATTGACGCGCGACGGGACGACAAATCCCGTAACGCGCGCGGGCAGTACCGGGGCGCGCCGTGCTCACAGTCCCTCAGAGACACGCGCTAGGGGCTGCAAATCCCAGGAAGACACGGGGGACACCGCGGGCCTGGCCGTGCCGGCTCATTGTACACTTCTCCCTTTTCTAGTCCGAGGAACGCCACCCCTTACTTGCCGCCGTCTGGAGGCCACCGGGAGCGGGTCCTCAGCCTCTCCCAAGCCCTGGCCACCGAGGCGTCGCAGTGGCACAGAATGATGACAGGTGAGGGGCGGGGATCCTGGAGTCCTGGGTTTTGGGGAGGACCTGGAATCCTAGCTCCTGGATGGGAGGGGTCTGCGGGCCGCTAGGAAGTTTTTATCTTGGTGAGGAAAGAACTGGGCAGGGCTTGGGAATTCTATCTAGGTCCCGGGCAAGAGGGCGACTGTGGTCCGGGCTACTGGCAGGAGGGGAGGAGGAGGTCGTGGGGGCGGACACCTGAGTCTCAGGGAGGAATGGACTGAGGGACTGAGGGGTCCGGACTTTTGGGCCTGGGGGAGCAGGAAGCCGGGGGACTTCACTCCTGGGTCTGAGAGAGGAAATACCTGGGAGTCCGGGGTCCTGAGTGCCGAAGTTTGACATTCTCATTCTCAACTCGTCCTCTCCAGGTGGGAATTTGGACTCCCAGGGAGACCCTGTCCCCCCTGCGCCACCGCCTCAGTCGGATCCCACGACCCAGGAGACCCCTCCGAGATCTCCTCCGGTGGCTGATTCCGGTACCGGGTTCTCTCGCGGACGTAGTGGGCGTGGCGGAGGCCCCACCCCCTGGGAGCGCACGTGGGATTCCGGGACCGCCCCTCCGGTCCAGACCCAGGACGAGGGGGCGTGGCCTCTGCGAGTCACTCTGCTGCAGTCCAGCTTCTGACCTGCCAAACGCGGCGGCCAATCGGAGCGAGAGGGCGTGGCCTGGAGTACCTCTCTAGGCATCTGGGGGCGTGGTCTGCTCCCCAACGGGGGCCTGGGAGAGGAGTGGTTTCCATGTCCAAAGTTTGGTTTTCCCACCGTCCAAGTTTGGATTAAAAGTTTGAATCTTTAGTCAATAGCTCTTTTTCTGTCTGTTTGCGGTTGTCACACTGGGGTCTCCGAGGGGCAGAGCTGGAGTCGTGGACTCCAGGGTTCTGAGGGAGGAAGGAACGGTGGGCTTCTAGTTTGCAGTTCGTCTGGGAGAGGAGGCAGCTGGAGGTCTGGATTATCGGGTCTGAGGGAGCAGGGGACAGAGAGCCTGACCCCTGGGTCTGACGGAGGAGCGGCCGGGGCAAGCTTCGGGTCCTTGGCCTTCCCCGCATCGCCCACCGCCCCGGGGCTGGGCTTCCAGCAGCCAGCCCTTATTTAAGGTTTGATCCCACGGCCTCATCAGACTTTGGAGGTGGCAAGAGGCCCAGAGTGAGTGAGCGAGAGAGACTCGAAATGGCCACAGGAACGAGCTATGCCGGGAAGGTGGTGATTGTGACCGGGGGCGGACGCGGCATTGGAGCCGGGATCGTGCGAGCCTTCGGTGAGCAGGGGCCTAAGGGAAGGGCGGGAGTAGGGGCTAATGAGCGTGGGGAAAAGGGACTCTGGTTCTGGAGTCTGGATTCTGAGCGTATAAAAGCTAATTTGCGATGCTAACTGCAATGCTAAGTGAGCGTTAGGATGGAAAGCCAAGTAGGTGTTCACGGCGTGGGTGGACAGAGATCTCTCACGCAGAGATTAAGATATAAAAGTTAAAAAAAAGAGCTTATTTTATCTTTTAGAAGGACAGAGAGAAAGAGACAGAGAGAGAGGAAAGAGAGGGTGAGCAGGGAGACCGCCTTGGCATCCCAAAGAAAGAAGGGGATGCCAGCCCTGAGGCCGAGTGGCTCGCTGATTTCAAGGGGGAGAAGGGGCAGGACGAGAAAGAAAAAACCCAGTGATTGTCACTTGACACAGAAGCGGCTGTGGAGTAATTAGCAGGAGGCAGCTGCAAGACGTCAGGTTGTCCCGTCTTTCTTGCTTTTCCTGTTCCCGGAGACTTGGTTATCTCTGAAATGTAGTCGGACTTAGCACAGGGGATGTGATGTTGCTGGAAACTTGGTTTGGGGCAGGAAACTGAGGCCTGGCATTTGTCCCCTGCTGTCTGTCTCGGGGGCTTCTCAGGAACTCCTGGAGGCCACAGAAACAGATTCTAAAGGCTACCAGCTGGTGACGTTCAGAGAAAGATTTGCATTTCCCTTTTGTCTGGTCCTTTCAGGTGTTGTGAAAATGGAATCCCTGCAGGGCGCCTGCCAGCCAGGGAGAGAGTTCATGATTGATCTTTAGCTGTTACTAGAAAATCAGGAGGTTAGATATTTTCCTGTTGTTTCAGCGAGGCCGGCCCCTTTCAGTGAGGGCGTGCGGTGACAGCCTGGGGCCTGGGTTTTTGGCAAGGTCTCCAAAGGAAGTTACTCCCTTTCTCTAGGTTTGTTAACGCAGCTGCAAAGCGGGTGGTTTGGGTTATCTGGAGTAGCCACGGGAAGTATGTGTCAAGGCCTCTGCCCTTTGTCCGGGGATCCTCATGACACTGGGATCACGAGGGGAAGGTGAGGGAGAGAAGCCCCACTCCATGTGGCCACAAGGGGGCAGCAGAGGCCTTCACCAAGGGGTAACCTGTTCTCTTCCTTCTCAGTGGACAGCGGGGCCCAAGTGGTAATCTGCGACAAAGATGGTGAGTGACGGTCCCTGAGTCCTCACCCCACCCTCCTCTCCAGGGGTCCATGCCCCCAGCCCCTCCTCCCTCAGACCCAGGGATCCGGGCCCCAGCTCTTCCCTCCCTGCAGAGTCTGGGGGCCGGGCCCTGGAGCAGGAGCTTCCTGGAGCTGTGTTTATCCGCTGTGACGTGACTCAGGAAGAAGATGTGAGGGTGAGAGAATTTTCCACCTCTACTCCCCATCTCCAACGATTACCTCTCTCTCTCTCCATTTGCCTCTCGGCGTTTGCACATGCTGTTCCCTCTACTTTCCCTCTTCTCCTGGCTAAATTGTACCCGCCACGAAGGTCTCAGCCCAGTGCCACCCACTCGCGAGCATTAGGCTTTCCTTGATTCTGACGACCAGGTCACATTCCTGGGTTTGTTCTCCTTCATCACCTCCATCTCCAAGGCGCTCATCACACCTGCCAGGTGGATGGAAATGAATAAATCCCTCAAAGTGGGCCTCCTGTGACTTTTTTTTCCTGTTTCTGGGTTTCTGTCCCTTCTATTTAATCAGTGTCTGTTATCTGTCCCTGTGGGTCTCTGCTCCTTTCTCTCTGGGCCTCTGTCCCCTCCCCTCTCTGGATCCCTGCCTGCCCCCGTCCCTGGAATGACAACTGGGGCGTGGCACTGACCAGCTCTCTGGTCTCTGGCACCTGGGCCTTCCTGTCTCCGCCTGTCCTGCCGTGCCCAGTGTCCCCCTGCTTCCTCCAGCTCCCGTCCCGTCAGCTCTGTGCCCAGCTTCCCGTCCCTGCCTTGCTTTTCGGAGCTTCGGGAGCGCCGGTTCCTGCAAAGTGGGCACCGCGCAGCACTGCTCATTTCCACGTTTCCTTCCCCCCAGACCCTGATCTCCGAGACCGTCCGCCAGTTCGGCCGCCTGGACTGTGTGGTCAACAACGCCGGCAACCGTGAGTCATGAGGCCTGAGGGCCACTCCCCACTGATGTCAACCCCCCTCCTGCCCCACCCCTTCCTCCTGCACCTCTGTTTCCCCCTCCCCATCTCTCACTCCCCATCCTGCCCCATTCCTCTTCCTGTCCCCCGAGACAGGACAGTGCAGCCATGGAAACCACCAGGCCTGGGCTTAAATCCTGGCTCTGTTCCACCCTCCCGGTGTGTCCCCAGTCCTGCGCCCTCACCTGTCCATGCCCCCTATATCTCTAAAGTGGGAATGATGGTCACCATCCTAATGACAGTGACCATCTCGGGTGCACAGCCTCTGCCTCGCAGGCACAGATGATCATTTCTGAAGTGCGGCCCACGCCCCTCCCCTTTGCCAGCGACGGTGTAGGTGGACTCACCGTGCATGGCTATGGGACTTGGTGTCGTGGGTCCTACAGGAAACTGCCATCAGCTTAACGACCACCCTTCATAGGAATGCCTCACATTGGTAAACTGAGGCTCAGAGAGTGAGTCGATTGGGCTGGGTTCACACTGCAAGGCCGTGGCAGAGAGAAGCCACTGTGTCAGCTGGGCTCACCCTCTCTGGGCTGCAGTTTCCTCAAATTGGTTTTTTTCTTCCCTGTCCTATCCCCACCTCCCCTCCTTCAGTTGTAAGGCTTTAAAGAAACAGCAGACACTAGTTCATCCGTTTTCCCTGCAGCCTTTGTTCACTGACAGGTGTTTACTGGCACCTACTATGTCCCACGCTCCTTTGTGGGGAGTGAGGGTTTAGCAGTGACAAAATAGAGACATCTCCTGTCCTCTGCCACTCCGGAAGGTGTGAGGGTGGAAAGCCCAGTAGGTGCTCACGGCGCAGGTGGAGAAAGATTTCTCACCCAGAGATAAATATATTATAGTAAAAAAGTTTATTTTATCCTTTAGAACAACAGAGAGAATGACAAAGAGAG